TTCTAAAATACCTTGAACATACTATTCCCCTCAACTAGTTAAATTTGAAATTTCCTGACTGTGATGAATCTCTGGTATGGATAATTGAATATTTAAACAGTTCCTCTAAAATTATGAGCTATGGGGAGGAGAGAGAGAGTCTCAGTGAAAATGCATTTGTCTCATCCAACCTTAAGGCAATAAAATGAACTGCAACTGCTCAGTCACACAATTCAGTAGAAAAAAATTGAATATGACTGAAGTATTAGTAACAGTATTATACAGCATGTTTATGAGGCAATGGTAGTATCAGTCCAGGAAGAGGTAGCTAGCCATGTTAGTCTCAAGTCAGTTAGAAGGCAGGGTAAATATGCACCAGGCCTGTGCAAAGCAGAAAGTATTTGCTTCAGATTCAGATTCGGCTGATTCAGAGGGACAGCGATTCCATTAGGTGATTCAAATCACTGTCTCGATTCGATTCGGCTGATTTGGATCTGGAGATTCAGCGCTGATTTGGAGATTTGGCCATAGACTAAACAGGCAGCAGTCCTTGACCACGCTGGACACAGCTGCCTCCAGCTAGTAAGCAAAGCGGGGAGGAAGGGCCGTGGGGTGGAAGATCAACGCCCCCACAGCAAGGGAGGGATTGGGGCGGGGATAAGCTGCCCAGCCAGGGTGGAGGGGCACGGGACTCAGGGAGAGGGGCTCCCACCATTGTGCACCACTGCACACTGCCAGTCCAGGAGCTGCTCTTCTGATGGCTCCTCCAATGGTTCTCGCTGCTGGTCCGGGAGGGTATGGGAGGATGTATATGCCCCTGGATCTGCGTGGGGCGGGCTGGGCTGGGATGCACACTGGACAGGTGGCAGAAGAGACTGGGAGTGGGGGCTCTGCCCTCTCACTGCTCACCTAGCTGAGGCAGGGAGGCATGGGACAGTGGTGTTGCGCTGCCTCGGACAAGCAGCACACAGCAGCAGAAGCCGCTCCAGCCTCCCCGTGCCGCCTGCTCCACCCCACCCCACTCCGGCTGGGTGAACAGTGGCAGGGCATGGGGCAGGCACGTGCACCTGGTTCGGGGCGGGGCCAGTGGCATGGACTATGGGGAATTTTAGGGTGATTGAAGCCCCACCATAGCACCCGCTCCACTGCACTCTGTGGGGCAGGATGTGCCCGGGCTGCGCTCTGGGCAGTAGCCGGGCCTATCCACCTGGAGTGCAGCCCTGACTCCACCTGCCCTGTGGAGCACAGCCTGCTGGCGGGCGGCTAGAGGTAGCCTTCCAGAGCACATCCCAGCTCAGCCCACCATGTGCAGATCCAGGGGCACCTGCCCACTCCCATGCCTCCTGGACCAATGGCAAGAGCCGCCGGAGGAGCCACTGGAAGAGCTGCTCCTGGACCGGTGGTAAGCAGTGTCAGGAGCCCCCCTCCCTGATCCCATGCCCCCTGCCCCAGCTGTGCAGCTTGTCCCAGCTCCAATCCCTCCCTCACTGTGGGAGTGTTGATCTGTCCCCCCCACGCCCCTTCTCTCCCTTCTTCACTCCCCACAACAGACTTACCAGCTGGAGGCAACTGTGTCCAGTGTGGTCAAGGACTGCTGCCTGTTTAGTCTATGGCCAAATTTTTCTGAATCAATTCAGAGGCTTCCAAATTAATTCCGGCCTTTTAACAGGTCTCCCGATTCAATTCAGATTAAGAGATTTGGCTGCTGAATCAGGCTGAATCTCCTCTAGATTGAATCAGCAACCAAAGCTTCACACAGCCCTAATATGCACCATTATAGACTAAATAAGATTATATAATATATATATGAGCATTAGCTTTCACGGGCTGAAGCTGTCTTCATCAGATATTATGCATCAGTCCAGGCATAGCACAGAGCAGAATGATACAACAATGGGTGAGAGAGACAGAGAGACAGACATTTACTCTACAAGATGTTGGTTGAAAAGCTATGCTGGCTAGGAGTTTGATAAATGCTTCCTAGTTGACACAACTATGCTGGCAAAAGCTTCTGGTGTAGAGGCAACTCTGTCATCAGATTTGTGCTTTTACTGGTTTAGCTCAAGGGTGCTCAACTCCTGGCTTGCAGGCCAGTCGGGCCCATGGGGCCATGGCATCCAGTCCATGGAGCCCCCCACAGGTTAGGAAACGTGGCAGTGGGGGAAGAGTGGCAATTAATACTGGCGCCCTTCCCCTGCTGCCAAATTCCCATACCCCGTGCAGCCAGATCAGGCCCAAGCTACACCATCTCTTCCTCACATAGCTGGATTGTGCCACAGACTCTTTCGCCCATGCAGTGGTTGAGACTAAGATATGGCCCCTCCCACCCTCAAGACGAGGCTGTGCCCCCTTCCCTTCATGCAGCTGGATAGGGGCTGGGCCATGTCCCCTCTCCCATGCACCTAGATTGGGGCCCAGCTGCTTGCCATCTGTCTCTGTGTGTCCTATTGGGCCCCACATTCACTGGATCAGGCCCACAGGCCACATCTGGCCTGCAGACAAACTGGGTGCCACCTATCTGGCCAGTGGGAGCCAAAAGGTTGAGCGCTATTGGTTTAGGTTATAGTGCTAAAACAAGCAGTATAACTATTTCTGAGGGAACCGAGGGATCCACAGAAAAGCACATTCTGTTGGCATGCTCTGCACTTCCACCAGAGAGCAATGGTGAGATGTTTAAGCTGGCATAATTGTGGTAGAACATCTAGGAGAGGTGAGCCCTCAAAGAGAGAGAGAGGTTACATCTCTGCTGCCAAGAACTGTGTTACTTTACAGCGGAGTAACTAATGTGTAATCTACTTCACGGTCAGTTCCTAGAATAGACAAGGTGAAGTAATTCTTACACCGTCCTAACCTTATACTCCCACAGTAAAGCAAAATCAATGCTAAATTCCCTACCAGGTCTAGATGGAATCCTGAGTTCCTGTTCTATAGGAAATTCTAATATTCCAGTCAATTCCTGCATGTGGATAATCCCTTAAACCAGCAGTTCTCAACCTTTTGCACCTTACATCCCACCAGCCATTTTGTCAAAAAAACCCTGGTCAAACCATGGTAAAAACAAAACCCCACAAGATTGCACTGTTCAAGATATCTGTTGATTCATCTATTTGAAGTGCAAACAACTGATTTTTTCAATCGGGCAATGAGTTGAAGTCCCACCTACAAGACCTTTGTATCCCACCGGTGGGACATGTCCCACTGATTGAGAAACACTGCCTTAAACAATAAAATAGTATTGTATTGAACTGGAGTGAAACTTGAAACTATTGTGTAGCCTGAGTATCCACACGTCAGTGTAAGTGCTGCAAGCAAGCTAAAGGCTAGCCTAATGCCATCATTTTGTTGTGCCTCACATCAGTGCATTTGTGCCTCACTAATACTCATCTTTCTGTATATTGTAACTGTCAACCATGTGACCAGACTTTCATATAGAGGCAAAAAATATCCACTGATTAAAACCTGTCTCTGTGTGAGCCTGCACAGACAGGACATTTTTCTTTTAATCATGCACTGAATTCACAGCCTAGCTCTTCCATTAAAATTTGTCACCTGAATGTGACCTGACTGCAGAAAGGATTTTTTTTCCCTCTTGACTGTGGTCCCAGATGATTTGAAGCATTTTATATTTTATCCAATGGGAATGTAAGACTATAGAATTGGGATTGTGTTAGGTATGCAATTGCTGTGACTTGGGCTTCTGCAGATTTATTGTAACCTTTTGGTTTTTTCTGGGCAAGTGTACTGCCATGGGAACACTTTTCAGAACAGCTCAGTAAAATACATATTCAAATTCACCTGGGAATAAGTACCTTGATTAGTGAAACTTATCGTCAAAAACAATGAAAGGGCCCTATTCTGTAGCTGCCAGAAAGAAATTCAGAGGCTTCATGGAAAGATAACTCTTTCAAGTATTTCAGTCTCTCAGGGCTCCTATACACATGCAGGGAGGCTGCTCCAACGCGCTGTAATTACAGATGCAAGAGAATTTCTGCTTCTCCCAGCTCACTGGAGATTTTCAAGGCAATTGCACACGAGATGGTTTTGGAGCCAAGGCAGGGATGGTCTACAGACACATCTTACAAACATATTTAACTTTATGTTCATGAATATTCCAGGTGGGTGAAACCCTGGATCCATTGGGGTTAATAGGAGATGTCCACTGACTTCATTGGAGTCAGATTTCTTTTCCTATATCCAGCATAAGCATAACTACTTTGCTGCTTTGCAGTATGGGACTCATGGACCAGATTCTGAGAACCGAAGGACCCTATACTCAGAGCTGCAGTATTTTCACACTGCTGCTTATTTGCTACTTTTTGGCCTTTTTGGCTTCCCTAGCACCTCAAAGCTTTTTTTTTCCCATTACCCACAGAGACTTCCAGCACCAAAAAGTAGGGGAGAAAGTTTCCCCTTGTAAAATATATCCAAATAGAAAAAGGCTATTAGGATTTGGCTGACACTGGAAGTTCCTTGGAAGACAAAGAGTAAACAGACAGTATATTCATACATGTCAGTCATAAATCGATGATTGCTCCAAGGGTGATATTTTGCAGTCTTATTTGAA